GAAAACATCAGCGAGTTAAATTTAAAAAAATAAGCGTTTGAATCTAAAACAAGCCTTGGTGGATGATCCAGTGAAGTCATGCGACTCTGAATGTTTCCAGATGTTCAACATTTAAAGGTCAGAGGGGAGCATCTATGTGACAGTTCTGCTGATTTTCTATTTTTTCTTTCTAAGCTTTAAAGTTAAACTGCTGAATTACTGAGGAACTTTTTCTTTGCGCAAAGTTTCTCTATATTGAAATGTTTGAAACGTAGAGAAACAAAGTATAGACAGAGTCATGCCTTTAACTCATCGATGTGATCATACACTGCAAACACCATCTAGAAAAATTAAAAATGTCTTAAATTAAGTGTATTTGCCTTTAATTTGAGCAGTTAAATAAGATGACTTGCTAATGGAATGAGGGTTTTGACTGATTAGATAATATGCACTTCAAATAAGACAATGAAATTGTTTTTTTTTTCTTATTATTTTTAATGTAAATTGTCATGTTCCATGTATCTCACTTACCTCCTCAAGTCAAGAAAAAACTTATTTTAAGAAAAAATGACTTATCTAGATTTTGATTTTTTTTTCCAGTGTAAAAATGTGTCAGCAACAGAAACGCTGCTGAGATGAGTTTGCTTTTCAGATTCTGTTCTTTTTTTTTTGTCAGAAATCTGTAAAAGGTGATGATTTTCTGGATGTTTTGGTCTCATGTTTAATGTTTCATTGAAAAAAATGCTTCTCTGCTAATATTAATAAAACCTTTGGCACCGTGCGGTCAGTGTCTGTATGGATCCTTCAGTGTTCTGCTGATCCTGCCGCTCTGAGCCCACGTTGCTGCTGGCTCCACCTTTCATTCATTATCTATAACTCCAAATTATACTTTCAATATGTGAACCTTTAATCCAAGGCTCAGCTGTGGCTTCGTTCAGCATGAATCAAGGCTTCAATAGTGAAAACATCAGCTTTCATAAACAAATTGCCGAGCAACATAAAGTACAATAATACATAGTATGAAAACAAGGAGCAAAAATTAGCATTGACTTAAAATCCTGGTTGATTAAAACACTAGATGTCCTGGAGGATTTCAGTTCTCCTGCAAGCCCCCCTCCCCTCTAACTGTCCTTGCTGTAATGCAAAATGATCTGTAACATGACCAGCCCTTCTACAGGAGACTGGATAAGGCTGAAACAAACTGGCATCAGAACAAGAGCATGCTCCAGAAACACTTTACATCACCTTCCCTGCAACATCAGACCTTTTTGCAGGAATATCCTAATAATTAATATCTAAATCTTTTATTTAGGCAAACCTATTGAACAACCAGATATCATACGGATCCTAGTTCCTGAGCTCATAATCATGCTTCTCCAACAAGGCAAGGCAGAGCCTATTTATATTGTCCATTCACCAACAGACTCATTTATATTGCAAAGCTCACTATGCGAAAGAAAGAACAACTTAGAGAATAATCGTATTTTGTCTTGTCTCGCCTTTTTCACCTCATTCAACATTTCAGCTTAGAAAATGACAAACAGTCTGATTTCAGTACTGGAGTAACATTTATTTGACCCAAGGAAAAGCTCTAGATATGAAGCTACAATTGTCCCATTTAGCAGTTTTTATAAACCCAAGGTGAGTCCTTCCTGCATGTGTGACAGGTATACTTTAGGTGCACACAACGCTCAGTGCTGTGGTTCCTGTTGCAGAGATTGCACACCTGGCCTGCTTAGAATAACAATGCAAAAATCTAAAAAAAAAAAATAGAGTTTAGCACATTTTCCCAAAGTATGTAGTATGAACTAGATGAAGTTATCTATGTGTGCTATACGTTTTGTGGCACTACACACTGCAAAAATTATCTAGAATTAAGTAAAAATTTCTTAAATTTAGTGTATTTACCCTTAATTTTAGTGGGTAAATATGATGATTTGCCAATTGAATTAGTATCTTTACTCTTAAAATAAGAAAAATAGATAATATGAACTTCAAATAAGACAATGCAGTTGTTTTTACTTATTTTAAATGTAAATTGTCTTGACAAATTGTCTCACTTTCGTACTGAATTGGAGAAAAAATGCACTTATTTTAAGTAAAAATTGCTTAATTAGATTTCCATTTTTTGCAGTGCAATGATCTATAGTGTAATTATTGGCTATTATATGCTTATAATAACAATGAATAAATCTCCAAAAATACAGTTTGGCCTATTTATTAAAAAAGAATTAAAAAAAAATTAGAACTGTAATTATACAGTCATATGTTTCTATACCTATTTTTTTAAATGTATTTATTACTGTTTCCAAGGCTGCAATTTAAAATATGAAATTGTCTAGAGCTGTTCTATACAAAATTTCTTTTTGTTTACACTTGTGTATAAAAAAATGACAAAATAAATCTGTCTAAGTCTCTAAGTCATAAGTAATTCTTGGCCTTTTATATGCTTATAACAATGAAGAAAAAAAAATGAGTTTAGCACATTTTCCCAAAGTAAGAGTTGTAGTGTGAACTAGATGAGGTTATCTATGTTTGGAGGCACTACAATGATCTATAGTGTAAGTATTGGCTTTTATATGCTTATAATAATAATGAATAAATCTCCAAAAATAAAGTTTGGCATATCTTTCCAAAGTAAGAGTTTGTATTCTGATCCAGATGAGATTATCTGTTTATCCTACAAGTTTGAAGGCAGTACAATGACCTATAGTGTCAACCTATTCTCAGTATGAAATCGTACGAAAATTTATGCACCGTAATTTTGTACGTTTTGGACGTTTTTTTCATCGTATGCGCATGCGCATCTGACGCACCATTCACGAATATAGAATATAAATTACAATTATCCCTAACCCTAAGATATAAAACAGCAAGCAACATAGTTAGAGACATGAATAAGTGATGATTGCACTGTTTTTCCCAGTTTTACGTCCATCTGCTTTTTTTTTTCTGTGGTTTTTTGAGGAAAAATGTCCAAAACGTACGAAATAGTGTGCATAACTTTTCGTACGATTTCATACACACTGATAATGACAATATGTTGATAGTGTAGTCATTGCTCATTTTATACTTATTCTAATAATAGAATGGATGTGCCATTTATCATTTAGGTTTTGGAAATTCCTCAGAAAAGTATTATTTTCGAATCCAATGAATGTGATAATAATCCACCTCTCCTTGGTGACGCTTTAGAATATTTCTCTCTGATTATTTTGCGACTTGCAGAGCTCGCTCCTCCTGCACATTTTTGGAGCAGTGAGCTCCCCATAGGGTCCAATGTAATTCTCCCAGTGCGATAGGTGACTCATTTTGAGGAAACTACAGTTGTAGCTCACTGCCTGCCTTGCTCTAGTGTCCGTTTTGTAGAATAAATCATCAGCCGAGTTATCCTCGTATCTCCTGGACTTTTAGTGTTAAAGCTGTTTTTTGTTGCTTTCAAACACACATCCAGTCAGTTTGCAGAGTAGATTATCCCTCATCTCACCTTGTAAGATCATATGATGGGGCATCATCACCATAAGGTATGCGGTGTGCTTCCTTTCAGATACAAAAACCAGATCACTGCCGAAAACTCAACAGGCTTCATTTCAAACTGTTCAAGAACCTGTAAATCAGAAACCACAATTAGTTCAGAGCTGAAATTAGCCACTTTATCTACAAAGATATTCAGTAAATAATTGCAAAGTTTCAGCTAGATCAAAAAACTGGAGGTGGGTCAGAAATGAAAAAAAAATGCACCCACTTTTGGGATTTCCTTAATCATATTTAGTTACTTTAACAGAGTTGTTTTATGTTAGTAGGGTAGGACATAAAACAATTGTGTTAAAGTAACTAAATATGATTAAGTAAATGCTGAAAGCGGTTGCATTGAAAGCCCCCCGTAAAACGCTCAGTACCTCTTAGTTTTAATGTTTGCTTCAAAGCTGACAGATGATGGGGGTTCTGGCCGTTACTGTGGAAGAGATCAGGAACTTTAGACTGAAATCTGAGATCTACTGGGACCCAGAATGTGAGTCGATGCCATGAGAGGATTTTCTACATTCAGTCTATTTGCAGGCATGAAAATGCTGATCAGTGCAGGTTAAACAGAACGATGTTGTGAATGTTGTTCTGTAGATCTGCTCAGATCTGCCTTGTGATCTATTTAAGAAACAGGAGCAAGAAAATATCTGATGCGAGTCAGATAAGGAGCAGAGGCGTCAAAAATATTCATGTTTACAACTCCAGTAGAAGTATAAATCCTATTATTTAAAGCCCTTTTGTAGAAGTTAAGAGGATCAATTTAAGCTTTTC